TTCACATTTCAGTAAGCGAGCAATTCAAAGGTTGAGGGGCTGCATTGGTAGCTCAGTTGGTACACGCACCACTTAGCATGACAAAGAGATATGCAGTCCAGGAAGACTCTAGGTTTCATCCAGTGTCTGTTCTGCGTTAGCTGATAATAATATAATAATAATAATCCTTGCATTTGATATAGCGCTTTTCACGTCGGGAGGACGTCCCAAAGCGCTTCACAGAACACACACTGTAAAGTGAATTGACTGTATATTTGTGGGCGAACGCGGCAGCCAATTGCACACAGCAATGTCCCACAAACAGTTGTAGATTGAAAATGACCAATTTATTATTGTTTTGGGTTTTGGAGGGATTATTATTAGGCTCTGTGTGGAGTAAGGAAACTTGCCCAAGGTTTCGCCCTGACCGGCCTGGAATTGAACTAATGAGTTAGTCTGTCAGCTTGGCTCAGAGATAGCACTCTGACCTCTGGGTCAGAAGGTTGTAGATTAAAGTCTCATGTCAGGATATATATATATATATATATATAAAAATTTACCTTGACACTCCAATGCTGTGCTGGGGGTGTGCTGCATTGTCAGAGGTGCTGCCCTTCAGATGAGATGTTAAATCAAAGCACCGTCTGCCTATTCAAAATTCTCATGGAAAGAGAGTTTCTCCCCGTGTCCTGACCAACAATCCCCTGAATAAAATTGGTCATTGACTTCATGGCTGTTTGTTGGACATTGCAGTGCACATTTTGGCTGCTGCTCGCCCACAAAACACACAGACACACCACTATTCAGTATATCCAGTGAAGTGCTTTGGGATATCCTTCTGACCTGAAAGGTGCTACACCAAATGTAAGGATTATTATTGTTATTATATTACTATTATTATGATCATCCTAATAACCATGGCATTAGTCACAGCTCTGAAAAATGTATATGTACTAATGTTAGGTGAGGATGAGATCACACAGGGCTGTGGTACCAACCTTTGTAATCTTGTATCTGATTGATGTTAAAGTACTCATTCAGCAGCATAAAGGTGAAGAAATAAAAGAAAAAGAAAAAACTGCCACTGCCTCTCCCCTCAGGCCGCCAAGACCCTCATTCATACATTCATCACATCCAGGCTTGACTACGCCAGCACCCTGCTCACCAGACTTCCTAACTCTTCCCTCCACAGGCTACAGATTATTCAGAACTCTGCAGCTCACGTCCTATCCTCTGGCTTGCTCCACGTCCCTGCCCTGCCTGCCCCACTATTGGTGGTCAGGCCTTCAGCTTTTCTGCCACCACCCTCTGGGAACTTCATCTCACAATTCCTTCGCCTCGCCCCCCCCCCCCCCCTTGCCTCCTTCAAGGCTCGTTGCAAGAATTTGCTCTTTAACCATGCCACCTTCCCATCCTCCACCCCTCTTGATTCTACCCCCAGCTCGGGTGTAAACCCTTGACAGTCCAGCGTCTTGGGACATCCTTCCAACATGAAAGGCGCTATATAAATTTGTTGTTGTTGGTTCCATTCTATGTTTGGAAGCAGGTTGGACGACATTTGTGATCTGATCACTGGGATCAGGTAAGCATGATTACAAGAAGCTCTACATACAAGTGCATGTGCTGAGCCCCATTCCAGAACCAAATCTGGAAAAATGCCTCACTAGAAAGTGTTCCAAACTTCATTTCAACAGGTTTTAAGTTTGAATCAAGAACAATACTTGGATTGCAACACCCGATACAACCAGATTGCGAAACACAACAAATACCATTCCTATCATTTCCATTAAATTACACACAGGATTTACAAGAATTGAAAATGCATTAAAAACACACTTTTTTTTAAGAAAAGGATTTACAGCTTGCATCTCACAGATGAAAAAAAAACTCATATTATTTAAGTCAATCACTCCAAATAATAGTTGCCATATACATCCTTTAAAAAGGCATTTATTTATTAAGATTTTTATTTTGTTCCCCTCGCTCGTTCCATTCAACCCTGCTTTAGATATTAATAAATCATCTCCTCTTTTAGGCTCCTGGTGCATGGCTGAGCAGAACTGTGAAAGGTTTGTAAAATAACCCTTGTGCAAGTTTTCCAGTTTTGACAAGTGTGCATACCTGAATAGGAGTGATACTATCTTCTTTCAGTGCTGTTAATCTCTTTAGAACTGAAACTCTAATTTGCATTGCCTCATACAGATTCTATCCCCACCTTGAATTTGGTCAAAGTACACGTCACACCTGTTTGGAGGCAACCTTACCAAATTGAGAACTAAGAATTATGCAGCTATGAAACAATAAAGAAATTGTTCTCTATACAGTAAATTGCACACCAATTTCAACTGTGCTCCACCAAGCAATAAACAATACCTCAAAACGCAGATAGGAGCAAAATGTATCGACACTTTACATTTAGTTTGATACAAAGCGTAAGTAAGTAACGCTTCTTAGGATAGTACTGATCATCTACTACTAGATGCGAGTTGAGTATATACTGTATAATCTCAAGAGATGAAAAAGTACTTTAGCACTCTTAAATGAAGTCAAATAAATCTGTTGCTTCAATCAAAATGTTAAATAGATAATCTGAATGTTCTGCCTCATTTCAAAGCTTGAACCTCCCCTCTTTTTGAAGAATGGCGCAAAATTGTAATAAAATGGTTACAATTGGATTTACTCAAGTTCAGCTGTTCAATGCTAATTCAAAGTTTACAGATTTGCAGCTCTTCACAACTGTACATTGATGCCTGCTTCCAGTTAGAATTATTTACATGCATTTTGAAATATTAAACCGAGGTCCCGTCTGCCTGTTTAAGTGGACGTTAAAGATCCTGCCACACTATTCAAAAAGAGAAAGGGAACGTCTCCAGTGACCTTGCCAATAAATAAATAAATTAAATAAAAGTGGTCATTCATTTCATGGCTGTTTGTGGGATATTGCTGTGTGCAAATTTGCTGTTGCATTTGCCCAGAAATACACAATTATTTCACTTCGCAAGAAAATCCTGTGAAGGGCTTTGTGTTGTCCTCCCGACGTGAACAAAATGTAAGGATTCTTATGAATCTAAGGTGCCTCAGGTAATAAAAATGAAGTTAATCAGTACAGAAAATTATGATAGACGGTAAATCATACCGAATTCCCAGTACTTTGCAGCTATTGTTGATATACAATCGTAAGGTTATGAATCATCTATGCCCACTTTGCATATCATTCTAAAGATTTAAAACCAATCCAGTTTTGTGTTGCAACCATTGCGTCAAATCCATTTGGTTTCTCCTGACACAGATGCTTCAATGAAGTGAAAATATTTATTTTTCAAAATAGTCGCAACGCTCTGCTTTTTAAAACAATTCTTGATATTTGAAACAAGCATAACAAATGTATCCTTTTTCGAGCAGTGAATTAATCCACCCCAACTGAACAACTGCAACTTGCATTGATAGAGCTCTACACTTGGGTGTGAAGGTACCAGAGAGATTGTTATCCACATTCCAAAACTGGTTTTGGAGGATGGATAAATATTACCTTGAACCTTTTCTGAAAAACGCCAATTTCAACAAGCAAACTTCAATAGCTTTCATTGTGGAGTCCTGTAGCTCAGTGGTTAGAGCACTCGCTTTGCAAGTGAGAGACCTGAGTTCAATTCCAGGCAGAGGGCGAAACCTTGGGCAAGTTTCCTTACTCCACACAGAGCCTAATAATAATCCCTCCAAAACCAAAAACAATAATAAATTGGTCATTTTCAATCTACGACTGTTTGTGGGACATTGCTGTGCGCAATTGGCTGCCGCGTTCGCCCACAAATATACAGTCAATTCACTTTACAGTGTGTTCTGTGAAGCTCTTTGGGACGTCCTCCCGACGTGAAAAGCGCTATATCAAATGCAAGGATTATTATTATTATTATCTCGTCTTAGCAAAACCAACGAAAGCAAAATAGGAGGCAATTTGAAACACAGCATTCACCCAAAGAGAAGCCCAGACAAGCTGCTCAAATTTGGACAATTTATATGCAGCCATTTCAAGGTATTTTTTAATGAATTACAAAAATAAAAATCTTTTAACTCTATGCGGTCCTTCAAGCAAAGGTACACTTGCAATCGACCCAATTCTTGATCATGTGAATTGACACAGGCCCACGAGGACATTTTGGCTGTTGCAAAAGCTCCTTGTGTCAAGACTTGTACTGAACAAACCCAATACAGTGTTTCAATCAGACTCCAGAGGCAATAAATACTCTGTTAAGAGGGGTTCATGATCACCCTCAGTGGTTAACAGGGTACTGTATATACACAATAAGTACAAACAGACTCAAAGTCCTCCGATTCTCGCAGACAGTTTCAAAGTTATATGTCAGACTGATTAGGAAGGAACACTCCTGCAGTGTGAGCAGCACAGCTCTCTCCCTCTGTCTGTCTGTGTCAGGGCGAGGAGTAGCAGCCGAGCCTGTCCCGGCTGTCGCTCTGCCTCCAACCAGCCCCGGGCCAGGAGACTCTGCCTGGGGCTGCACTGACTCCAGGGCTGACTCTGGCTCTGTCTCTGTCTGTGGCTCTGTCTCTGGCTCTGTCTCTGGCTGAGGCTGTGTCTGTGTCTCTGTCTGTGTCTCTGTGTCTGTCGGTGTCTCAGGCTGTGTCTCAGGCTGTGTCTGTGTCTCAGGCTGTGTCTCAGGCTGTGTCTGTGTCTCAGGCTGTGTCTCAGGCTGTGTCTGTGTGTGTCTGTCCGTGTCTCTGTCTGTGTCTCTGTGTATGTCTGTCTGTGTGTCTGTGTGTCTGTCCGTGTCTCTGTCCGTGTGTCTGTGTGTCTGTCCGTGTCTCTGTCTGTCTGTCTGTCTGTCTGTGTGTCTGTCTCTGTCTGTCTGTGTCTGTGTCCGTGTCTGTGTCTGTGTGTCTGTGCCCCCCCCCCCCGCCCCCGGGACTGACTGCAGTGCCGGTGTTGGTGTTGGTGTTGGAGCCGCTCAGAGGTCTCGGGACAAATCCCCAAAGTTTACAGCAGCGGCGGCGCAAACCCCGACTCTTACCGTATAACCGCAGCTGCCGGTCCCGCCCGGTGCCGCCCGGTCCCTGCGCCCCGCCCGGTGCCCGGTGCCCGGTGCCCGCCGTGTGAGTGTGTGTGAGTGTGTGCGAGGCAGTGTTTGCCGGATAGAGGCAGTGAGTGGCTCCGCCGCCGCCCCCCAGTGCCGCTCCTCCTCGGCCGCTCCCGCACTGCCAACCGCCTGACGTCAGCAACACCGAGACCCGAGCAGCCAAACCTGCAGCTGCTACTGCCGGGCACTGGGGGCAATACACAGCCACTGCCCCACACCGGGCACTGGGGGCAATACACAGCCACTGCCCCACACCGGGCACTGGGGGCAATACACAGCCACTGCCCCACACCGGGCACTGGGGGCAATACACAGCCACTGCCCCACACCGGGCACTGGGGGCAATACACAGCCACTGCCCCACACCGGGCACTGGGGGCAATACACAGCCACTGCCCCACACCGGGCACCGGGGGCAATACACAGCCACTGCCCCACACCGGGCACCGGGGGCAATACACAGCCACTGCCCCACACCGGGCACTGGGGGCAATACACAGCCACTGCCCCACACCGGGCACTGGGGGCAATACACAGCCACTGCCCCACACCGGGCACTGGGGGCAATACACAGCCACTGCCCCACACCGGGCACTGGGGGCAATACACAGCCACTGCCCCACACCGGGCACTGGGGGCAATACACAGCCACTGCCCCACACCGGGCACTGGGGGCAATACACAGCCACTGCCCCACACCGGGCACCGGGGGCAATACACAGCCACTGCCCGGGGCAATACACAGCCACTGCCCCACACCGGGCACTGGGGGCAATACACAGCCACTGCCCCACACCGGGCACTGGGGGCAATACACAGCCACTGCCCCACACCGGGCACCGGGCCCCCCCCCCCCCCCGCAATACACAGCCACTGCCCCACACCGGGCACCGGGGGCAATACACAGCCACTGCCCCACACCGGGCACTGGGGGCAATACACAGCCACTGCCCCACACCGGGCACGGGGGCAATACACAGCCACTGCCCCACACCGGGCACCGGGGGCAATACACAGCCACTGCCCCACACCGGGCACTGGGGGCAATACACAGCCACTGCCCCACACCGGGCACTGGGGGCAATACACAGCCACTGCCCCACACCGGGCACTGGGGGCAATACACAGCCACTGCCCCACACCGGGCACGGGGCAATACACAGCCACTGCCCCACACCGGGCACTGGGGGCAATACACAGCCACTGCCCCACACCGGGCACTGGGGGCAATACACAGCCACTGCCCCACACCGGGCACTAATACACAGCCACTGCCCCACACCGGGCACTGGGGGCAATACACAGCCACTGCCCCACACCGGGCACTGGGGGCAATACACAGCCACTGCCCCACACCGGGCACTGGGGGCAATACACAGCCACTGCCCCACACCGGGCACTGGGGGCAATACACAGCCACTGCCCCACACCGGGCACTGGGGGCAATACACAGCCACTGCCCCACACCGGGCACTGGGGGCAATACACAGCCACTGCCCCACACCGGGCACTGGGGGCAATACACAGCCACTGCCCCACACCGGGCACTGGGGGCAATACACAGCCACTGCCCCACACCGGGCACTGGGGGCAATACACAGCCACTGCCCCACACCGGGCACTGGGGGCAATACACAGCCACTGCCCCACACCGGGCACTGGGGGCAATACACAGCCACTGCCCCACACCGGGCACTGGGGGCAATACACAGCCACTGCCCCACACCGGGCACTGGGGGCAATACACAGCCACTGCCCCACACCGGGCACTGGGGGCAATACACAGCCACTGCCCCACACCGGGCACTGGGGGCAATACACAGCCACTGCCCCACACCGGGCACTGGGGGCAATACACAGCCACTGCCCCACACCGGGCACTGGGGGCAATACACAGCCACTGCCCCACACCGGGCACTGGGGGCAATACACAGCCACTGCCCCACACCGGGCACTGGGGGCAATACACAGCCACTGCCCCACACCGGGCACTGGGGGCAATACACAGCCACTGCCCCACACCGTGCAATACACAGCCACTGCCCCACACCGGGCACTGGGGGCAATACACAGCCACTGCCCCACACCGGGCACTGGGGGCAATACACAGCCACTGCCCCACACCGGGCACTGGGGGCAATACACAGCCACTGCCCCACACCGGGCACTGGGGCAATACACAGCCACTGCCCCACACCGGGCCACTGCCCCACTGGGGCAATACACAGCCACTGCCCTACACCGGGCACTGGGGGCAATACACAGCCACTGCCCTACACCGGCACTGGGGGCAATACACAGCCACTGCCCCACACCGGGCACTGGGGGCAATACACAGCCACTGCCCCACACCGGGCACTGGGGGCAATACACAGCCACTGCCCCACACCGGGCACTAATACACAGCCACTGCCCCACACCGGGCAATACACAGCCACTGCCCCACACCGGGCAATACACAGCCACTGCCCCACACCAGGCACTAACACACAGCCACTGCCGCACACCGGGCAATACGCAGCCACTGTCCTACACCGGGCAATACGCAGCCACTGCCCTACACCGGGGCAATATGCAGCCACTGCCCTACACCTGGCAATAATACACAGCTACTGCCCTACACCAGGCAATGGGGGCAATACACAGCCACTGCCCACACCGTGCAATACACAGCCACTGCCCCACACCAGGCACTAATACACAGCCACTGCCCTACACCGGGCACTAATACACAGCCACTGCCCTACACCGGGCACTAATACACAGCCACTGCCCCACACCGGGCACTAATACACAGCCACTGTCCCCACACCGGGCACTAATACACAGCCACTGCCCCACACCGGGCAATACACAGCCACTGCCCCACACCGGGCAATACACAGCCACTGCCCCACACCAGGCACCAATACACAGCCACTGCCGCACACTGGGCAATACGCAGCCACTGCCCCACACCGGGCAATACACAGCCACTGCCCCACACCAGGCACTAACACACAGCCACTGCCGCACACCGGGCAATACGCAGCCACTGTCCTACACCGGGCAATACGCAGCCACTGCCCTACACCGGGCAATATGCAGCCACTGCCCTACACCTGGCAATAATACACAGCTACTGCCCTACACCAGGCAATAATACACAGCCACTGCCCCACACCAGGCACTAATACACAGCCACTGCCCTACACCGGGCACTAATACACAGCCACTGCCCTACACCGGGCACTAATACACAGCCACTGCCCCACACCGGGCACTAATACACAGCCACTGTCCCACACCGGGCACTAATACACAGCCACTGCCCCACACCGGGCAATACACAGCCACTGCCCCACACCAGGCACTAATACACAGCCACTGCCGCACACCGGGCACCAATACACAGCCACTGCCGCACACTGGGCAATACGCAGCCACTGCCCCACACCGGGCAATACACAGCCACTGCCCCACACCAGGCACTAACACACAGCCACTGCCGCACACCGGGCAATACGCAGCCACTGTCCTACACCGGGCAATACGCAGCCACTGCCCTACACCGGGCAATATGCAGCCACTGCTCTAACTGGGCAATAATACACAGCCACTGCCCTACACCAGGCAATACACAGCCACTGCCCCACACCAGGCACTAATACACAGCCACTGCCCTACACCGGGCACTAATACACAGCCACTGCCCTACACCGGGCACTAATACACAGCCACTGCCCTACACCGGGCAATAATACACAGCCACTGCCCTACACCGGGCAATACACAGCTACTGCCCTACACCGGGCAATACACAGCCACTGCCCTACACTGGGGGCAATAATAAATAATAATTATTGCATTTGATATAGGGCCTTATCACATCTTCAAGACGTCTCAAAGCGCTTCACAGAATATACTGTCAAGTGAGTTGACTATATATTTTGTGGGTGAAACATGGCAGCCAGTTGCACACAGCAGTGTCCCTCAAACAGTCATGGATTGATTGGCCAAATTATTATGATTTCTTTTATGGGAGATGGGGAGGTAATCAGGGTTTCCTTGGAGCAGAGTTGGTTTGAAGGAGACATGTTCAACAACAGAATGTCATAATCAAACCCACCCTCTGTGGCAGTCCCCCACTCCCTAAACCAGGAGCAATTGTAGTACCCAACTTCCATTCAGCAGTGGGAATGTTGGCTTCTCTAACACAGGTGAATCTGTGTCAAATTTAGTGCTGCCCCAGAGATCAGGATTCAAACCTGTCCCCGTGATCACTGAGTGAAGTCTTTAGCCACTTGACCATCGGGGCAGCGGTGATGTTCTGTTTGGATGACTCTGCAGGATGACTAACTTTCCATGTGACAAGTAGCAACTGAAACACCGCTAAGAATATACTGAAAATTGGCAGGAGGTGGACAATGCAGCAGTGTGTTGACCATGTATAACAGGGCTTCACCACATCGGGGCACGGCTGATTGAACCCTGGTGTCTGAAGGCTTGTTGAAATTTGGAAAGCAGTGAGTTCAGTACTGTTAGAATAAAAAGTCATGAATGCCTGAAATCACTGCACTGTCCTCATAGAGACTCTAATCCTCAGCTTGTGAGACTGACCTGAAACTGATTGGATACTTTCCAAAGCACTGTGATCCTGTGGCTGACTTTTTAAAAGGGACACTGACTGCAAGAAAAACTGTGCTGGCCAATCAGTTGGCACCCAAGCCTCTGAAGAGGTGGGTGCTGAGCATGGGAGGTGGGTGCTGAATGTGGGAAGTGTGGGAAACTGAGTAAAAGAGGGGTACAAAGCGATGGATAACAGAGGGTCCACTGCATACACACTTTCTATAAGCAGCTTTGACCACAAAACAACATCTCTGCCATTTGAGTGTTGTCACAATAGGAAGAGCTTAGCTGTCTGAAAGCTATTAGTCCCTGGTTGACTGTAATCCAATTTAAAGTACAACTAAACAACCATAGCCAAAGGATATAATTAAGTAAATATTGATTGGAT